ACTTAATATATTCATCCACAGAGTTGATGTGATCAGTGAAATGTTGGACTTCCTGGGCTTCCCAGGTGTCGTCAACATATCTGAACCAATGGCTCGGTGGCACCCCTGAAAAGGACATCAAGGCTCTCTTTTCCACTTCCTCCATGTACAGGTTGGCAACAATAGGAGAAACTGGGGATCCCATGGCATAACAACATAAACTTAGTTTTTCTAAATTCAATGATAATTCATTTATATCAAACCACTTTTTTCATTTATTCAATTCTGAGGTGATTTCCTCCTCAAGCTGCTGTAAATTCTTCCCTTCACAGAAAATAATAGTATCATCTGCAAACAGAACAAACTGTAGCACTTTAGAAACCTTGCATAAATCGTTTATACAGTATATATTGAATAAAGATTTTAGGTCCCAACACTGACCCCTGGGGGACACCACAAACAATGCCAAAACATGAAGATTGAAAGTCACCTATTTTCACAAATTGTTGCTTGTTGCAAAGTAAAACCACTCCCCTGATACCGTAATATTCCAGTTTTTTTTATTAATATGTCATGTTTTTAAGATCAATGAACACTCCATCTGAAAAGGTATTTTTGTCTGTGGAGCTGGTGATTTCTTCTACTAATTCCAGAACTGGTAACAATGTGGATCTCTGAATCCATACTGACTGTCAAAAAGCAGTTTTGTTTCTGAAAAAAATTGTCCAATCTGTAAATAAATAGTTTTCCCAAAACTTTAGAAAACTGTGGGAATAAAGAAACAGGCCTATAATTACTGAATTGGTGTCTATCTCTAGTTTTGTATACAGCAATTACTTTTGCAATTTTCATATCTTTTGGAAATGTCGCAGTTCTGAATGACAGGATACAGATAGTGTTTGAATAAAATGCCTCCATAACCTATTTGACAGTGATCATATATACGTATGCCATCACAGTCTGTTGACATCATGTTTTTTTACATTTGTTAACATCTTTGATTTCTCTTTCTTCCACAGCTGAGGGAAATATTGATTTTGTATTTCTACTTATTAATGTTTTGTTCCATCCATCAGTTGATCCAGGATCACATATTTGTTCTGCCAGCTTTGATCCAACATTTACAAAATACCTATTGGAGTTATTGACCACATCATCCATATCATCAATGATTTCATCATTACTGATGAAATCATTGTGTATAATAAGTCTGTCTAGATGAATACCAAATAATAATGATTCTCACTTGTCTTTTTAAAAATGAAGTAAAAACATGTTGAGAGTGGAATAAAACATTGTGAATAAAAAAAGTTTAGGTGTGTAGAATATAAATGTATTTAGCTTACAGTATGTAGCATGTGTTAATATGGTTAAAAGAAAGATCAAACCTGTTCTCAGTTATAGAATTAAAAGACGTGCATTTTTACTTTCCTCTTCAACAAATTCTGCTATATCTACAAATATTGCACTCAAAGTTTAAACAGAACCTCCCTCCTAAACATTACATACAGTATATGGGTGTATCAGATGTCTGCTCCCAGCCCGAGGAAAGATGGTGTGAAATTACAAAAGAGGATTAGGTTCAGGATTCTGAGAAGTCAGAATTCTGAGAAACAAAAAACTCAGAATTTTTCCATTTTTTCTAAAAATTAGGAAAAAGTCAGACAGGCAGGCAGGCAGGCAGGCAGGCAGGCAGGCAGACAGACAGACACAGCCAGACAGACAGACAGACAGACAGACAGACAGACAGACAGACAGACAGACAGACAGACAGACAGACAGACAGACAGGCAGGCAGGCAGACAGATCTCCTACAATCCAGAATAAACTAGTGAGTAAACTAGATAGCAAAGACAGAGGAGCAGGACAACCTGGAGCCAAAACATGGCCCCTTTTGTAGCTGGGCAGTGGAGGGTGACGTTTAATACAAGAGAAAAGTCTACTGCTTTTTATCATTTTAAGAAGAAGAGCTCAGAAACACAAACACTGCTGGAGAAGACAGCACAATGCACTGCTTAAACACTGGGGGGCAACTCCAGAGTGGAAGAGTGTCCAACCCCTCTGGAGGAGACTGGTTCCAGAGCCAGAGCGGTGTGTCAAGGTGAGTCCAACTATATCTAGTTGGAACCTCTCAACCTCACACACCAGCTCAGGCTYCTTCCCCACCAGAGAGGTGACATTCCACGTCCCTAGAGCTAGCTTCTATAGCCAAGGATCAGACCGCCAAGGTTCTCGCCTTCTACCACTGCCCAGCACACAATGCACCCGACCCCTACGGCCCCTCCCACAGGTGGTGAGCCCATGGGAATGGGGACCCACATCTCCTCTTCGGGCTGTGCCCAACCGGGCTCCATGGGTGAAAGCCCAGCCACCAGGCGCTTGTCAACGTGCCCCACCTCCAGGTCTGGCTCCAGAGTGGGGCCCTGGTGACCCACGTCCAGGTGAGGGAACACTGAATCCATTTATTGTGTTCATCATAGGGGTCTTTGTCTGATCCCTCACCTAGGACCTGTTTGCCTTGGGTGACCCTAATGGGGGCACAAAGCCCCCGACAACATAGCTCCTAGGATCATTGGGACACTCAAACCTCTCCACCACAATAAGGTGGAAGCCCAGGGAGAGAAGAAGAGAGGTTTAACAACATGTCATGAAAATTGTCTGTTTTTGATCATGCTAAACTTAGCTTAACTAGAGGTGATCAAAGAAGGTCCCCACACTAAAGAAGTGAATTAGCACTTGATCAAAGTGACAAAAAGAAAGCCAAACTCAGTGTCGTCATTTTGTATTTCAATACGTGTTTTTAAAATGAAACATGAATGACCAGAAAGTATGTTGAACTAATGACAGGACACACAATAAAGCAATGCTAACAAGGGGGAAATCCCAAACACTTGTGGATCAGTTCTCCTGGGGCTGGGCGAGGCAGAAACAGATGGGGGGGGGGCAATGACACAGGGATCACATGATGACAAAGGATGGATCAGAATCAGAAGTGATAAAGAAAAAAATCCTTTTTTTACACAGGTGATGTGGCATGTGCTATATATATTTGCAACGGAACTTCATAAACTCTCAGTTGCTTTAAAAAAGGTACTTTTGGAACAAACTGTTCTGTGTGAATGCCCAACATCTCATTCAGTCTGCAGGTCCTTATCTTTATCTCAGTGGGACATGGATTTAAAGGAACACATGTTTGTATCATCATGGGTTAATGTGTAACAGAAGGCTGGTTTCCAGTAAGTGCTGCAATGTCCGTATCAAATGTGAAATAACAAAGACTTCCTCTTTGTYCAAGGCAGGACCAGGAAAAGTCACATGCTGTTATGAAGTGCTGAGATGTTAAATTTAACAAACAAGATTTTTTTAAAACTTGATTAAAATAGAAAAGTACTCTTAAATAAATAAATAAATAGTGTATCAAATTACAGAACTAACATTTCTGATTAAACAGTCCTACTTTCCCATTTATTTGGCATTAAAATTCACAGGTTTTTTTTAGTGTATGATGAAAGTGAAAATGAAAATGTATATTTATTTTCTAACTCTTTTCAAATTTAATCACAAAACACTGTTGCAACTGTGGAATTTCCAGACCTGCAGTTGAAAGCAGCAGGGTCACTTGGGGGCGTGTGCAAGAAAGAAGACACCAGTGAGAAGTGAAAACRTCTACTGGCAGAAGTTGTCTTCCTGTTTTTACTCCAGGCAGCAGCTCCTTCTCTCTGTTTCACTATTTGAGCTGACGTTGGATTGATTGTTTTTCAGAAACTTATTGTCTCCTTTTTTAAAATATACACAAAGGTAAGTCCAAATGTCATATTTTTAACTTCGGTGTGTTAAAATTTTATAAGACTCATTTAACATTTCTCTTTAAATGCTTGAGTTTCTTCACGTTCAGGACTACGTCTTCATGATGAGCACGCCGCAGACCATGGAAACAGAGGAGGACCTCCTCACTTGTCTCCATATTAAGCTTTATCACCCACATCAGGGTTCCAGGAGTCTTTATAATTTACTCCCTCTGGGAACCAGGAGACGGCACTCGGCTGATGATCCTCTCAGGGTGGGCCGTGACCCTGGCTCCTGCACCTACTCTCTGGCTGACCCTACGGTGTCCCGTAAACAGCTGTGTATCTTTGCTTACCGTTCACCTCAGAACCCAGACCTGCTGTTCACCATCCAGAACCTGAGCCAGAGAGGGCGTCTGTCGGTGAACAGCTCAGCGCTGGGTTACCTGGAGAGGATGGACCTACCAGACAAGGCTCTGATCCGGTTTGGGGAGTATGAGATGCTCATTGTCCGTGAGTCTGGGGAGGCCAGGGCCAGCTTTGAAGTGGCGTTTGARATCTTGGTAGTGCCTCCATCTAGAGAGACCTGCGCCTKTGWACCTGGWGATCTGACACCTGTGATGGACACAGGCCTGACAGGCGGTATCACAGCTGCGTTTAGAGAGCTTGGACCACAAGAGATTGATGAGACTCTCATCTGTTACTGATAAACAAGAATCATGTATTATATTGCTAGACTTACTAGGCATGAACTCTTTTTACAATTTAAACAGYTTGATGTATTTATCTTTGTGATGATCATGTAAACTAAAACTGCCCTAGAATGATTGTGTTTTAAAACATGACATATTTACTTGTATATTTCACTTAAGAAAATAAATAGTTTGTGCAACATCTTTTCACGTTCCATTTTTGTCCCCCGTYGCCGAGGCAGGAGACTTAGAAAKGCTTTCTGTCCATCCATTACAATTTCAGAAAGCTGTGACTTTCACAGAAAGGCTAAAATACACCAAACTTGGTATGACTCATCCATGCTGCATCCTGACCTTATCATGCGGTCATATGACATCATCAAACTGCCCTGTCAGCAGGAAGTGGTTTAGAAAGCTTAATCTCTGACCCTCTTAACCTAATCAGCAACTATTTGTGTCAGAACCAAGGAGGTTCTGTAGAACAGATGGAGAGCTCAGAAACTAGGTGACCGTGTGATCGGCTGGTGAAGCTAACGGCTAACGCTAAATGGTCAAAACTCTGGATTTCCCATTACTGTACATGTTGACAACAGAGCAGAAAAAAGGACTGACCATGTAGAAATCATTAAAAATATTTATTTTAATACTAACAAGATTTTTATTAATATTTTACAGTTTATATAGTCTATTTAATGTTTTAAATAATGTCAGAAAAGTTGTTTGTGTTATGG